TCTAGTGTCCGCCGTCTGTGGTGGTTTTGAAGGTGTGTCTGACAAAGAGAGAGAAGCAAGTCATGCTTTCCCCTCTCTCTGCCCTTCTGGGAATGACTGGGCTGCGGCTGAGATGGCTAAAATCACATTTTGCAAGAAGCAGTCCATCCCTGAGCCGAGGTAAAGCCAGGCGGCTAAGCTGAATTAGCTGTGAGGAGGCTGCACATTAGAGCAGCTCACAGGGACATCTGCTGATGTTTGTGTGCTTTCTATCCTCGTCTACTATTTATTTCACTTCAGGTAAGCAGCAAGAAACCATTAAATCCCTAAAGTGTCCTTGTCAGTTGCACTCTGCCTCTCAAAGCAAAGAGCAAAGCCGGGGCGACTGCAGAGTTGGGCTGCATGATTAGTCAAAATAAAAACAAAAGCACATTATGGCTTAATGCAATTATCAGCTGCAAAGGCAACTGAAATAAATAAATGCACTGCGTGTTTCAGAGTGAAGCACAGCACTGTGTTCGTTTACACGTGAGCAGCTCATTATCCGCAAGTGTTTTCAGCATCTCAGTGCGGCTTGGTTGTTTCAGAGTAAATGTCTGCTCTGAGTTTGAGTAGCATTAAAGGGGTGGTTAAATGTTTTTTTTTTTTTCTAGTCTTGATTGTGTTTATGGCGTGCAGTCTAACATGTATTAATGCTTCGTTTTTAAAAAACACATTATTTTTCACATAATTTACCTCACCGCTCTGTCCCTTCTCCGATGAACACTCTGATGATTTCCAGTTTTTATGAAGCCCCTCCCTCAGAAATAGGCGATGGGCTCTGATTGGTTCGCTGGTCCAGTGTGTTGTGATTGGCTAAATCGCTTCTAGTGCATGTCTAAACGTCCCGCCCCTCACCTCAGAATGCACTCCGATTGTATTGTAAACAATGACGTCGTCAATATCGCTTATCAGTTTGAGCCCGATTGAGACCCAGAGGATATTAGTGAAGAGGATCGCGCAGAACCTGTGCAAGTACGGCTCTTAATGGTATGATTTTGTTTGTTGTTTCATACTTTTAAATACGCTGTTATTTGTAAATGCTACTGCTTCTGTTAGCTTATAATATACGGTTTTATCTTGATTTAAGCTGTAATACATGATGTAGCATTTTTGTAAAGTAACAGGAAGAAGTGTTTGCCTGCAAGTATTGCTCGCTACCATGGCAACCGCATGCACATCCATTGTTTAACACTTCTCGTAGCTATGTGAAAAATATCTGTCTGTCTATACACATAAAGTGTGTAATTGGAACACAGTTTATCGGAGCTGATGATCAGGTGAGAGAGAGAGAGATGCAGAGCAGGGGGACGCGTGGAACAGGATTCAAGAACCGTTGCTTTATAACATTGATTGTGAAACTTGTGAATCCATTAGAATCGTTAGAAGACAGAATCGCGATTCATATATGAATATATTTTTTCGTGCACCCCTAATTTTGACGGCATGGCAATAACTCTTCCTCTTCTGTAAAGCAGCACAAAATTTATGTAAATTTATAGGTTTGTGATGTCACAAACCCGGGAAGTAGCTTGTTGTAGTCCCTACCAGCCGTATTTGTAGGCATTAAACTGCCATAATTAAAAAAAACGATATTTCTGTTTGCATTGAACTTTCAGCATCGTTTATTGTTTATGCTCAAACAGCAACATTACACACTAACTAACGTTAAAAAAGTGAAATCACAATCAACCACACCTTGTGCATTTGGGAATTTAGCATGCACTAACCATCTTCCCATACTTTTAATGAGAAGCGCTCATCAACAAAAGAGAAGCTTTGAGGGCAAAATAAAAGTTCAGTGGTTTAACGTTTGAAATGGAAGAAATTAAGACATCCATAAATATTAGTATTGTGATATTTATAGTTTCAATGTGAAACTTAAATTTTTTTTAAGTAGCCATTTTTATTTTACAGCAACATTACAACAGTATTTCTTATTTGTTTTATTTAGTAATTTTTCTATTTGTATAAATTAAAATATATTGTTGTTATTATTATTATTATTATTGTTGTATTATGTATCTTAAATACTTTGAGAAATTACAAAAATATTTCTCATTTTGTTTCTATTTCTATTATTATTATTATTGTTATTATTATTATTATTATTATACTATCTATTATTTTTTATGCAAAATTACAATCTATTATTTTCGATTGATTTATTTTGAGTATTATTAATAATAATAATAATAATAATATTATTATTATTATTAAATACCGATTTTTTTCTTTTACAGCAAAATTACAAAATTAAATAATTTTTTATTTATTTAGTATTTGATATATTATGTATTTAATTTATTTATTATTAATAATAATAATAATAATTGTGCAGTCCTACAAACAAGTACAGCAAATCTTAAATTGGCTTCACCACGAGGACACCTGACAGGTCTGCATGAGCATGTGATCGGAGCAGCTGCCAGGCTGTGGGTCACGGATTGCAGCGTTCGCCGGCCTATCTGCTTCAGAGCACCGCGAGGATCCATTAACAGGATTAGAGTGGTGGAATGAGATGACGATTTAATCAGGGAGAGAAAGACGGCGGCGCTGCGTGAGGTGGACGATTATGAAGCCAGACAGTTTTAATAAAAAGCAGGATGCCGTCACGTCACGAACAGATGATCGAGTCAGATCAACAGACTGATTATTTGCTTTGTTTAAAGGGAATATTGTCAGACGTCATGAGCTCGGTGTGCTTTTGCTTTCAGCGCTTTAATGAATGTTGAGATATTGAGTTGGACGAGACTTGATCCCTGTGGCTTGGGATATATTATCTGTCTGGCGTGCTGGGAAAACACCCAACTCTGAGGGAGAGGCACTGCTGGAGGATGTTAGGACAGAGTCTGATCTTAAATCGAAACACCTGTGTGTTGTCACGCTTGTTCAGAGCTGGGATACGTGCGTAGGGTTGTGTGCATGGAAGAAAAATAATGACAAATGTCTTTGAAACAAAAAAGCATGTTGAATTGCAAACTGAAAAAATAATGCAATGCATTAACGGTGCTTGCATTTTAATGCCTTGTATTTTCAGGTCTTGCAGTTTTCTTCCATACGTGTGTAGGCCCACATTTTCATGCTGACAAACAATGTTCAGTACTTTCAGTACTTTTAATTTCCCACAATGTGTACCAGTCTTAATGAATAATTTTTTGCAAAATTAGATTTTTTTTTTTTTTTTAATAATTTCACCTAAAGATTACACTTTCTCTTCCAGGAAAATTGACCAAAACTATTAATGACTTATTGTTTGTGTACAAATACATTATGGGGACCAAATGTCCCCACAAGTAAGTAATACTAGTAAATTTTGACCTTGCGGGGACATTTTTTTGGTCCCCTTGAGGAAACGGATTATAAGTACATTGCGAGGGCACATTCAATACTTTTAAGTGTATTTCACAAGGGTTTCATGAGGATTGGTAGCTGAAATTGAAAAATTAATGGCAGTATTTATTTATGAAATATCATTAGAAATCTGATTGCTCAATAATGAGCCCCCAGTCAGTCAATAATATACAAATATACCAGTTTTAAAAGTGAGCATCACCATGTTGTAGTACTCATTTGGTTATTTGGTACAAATAAACACACATGGCAATAAGTAAGGAATATTTCCTGTTCATATAATCTTTCATCTTCCTAAAACATTTAGAAATTTCTTAAAGGAATAGTTCACCCAAAAATGAAAATTTGCTGAAAATGTTCTCACCCTCAGGCCATCCAAAATGTAGATTAGTTTTTTTTCTTCATCAGATTTGGAGAAATGTATCATTTCATCTCTTGCTCATCAATGGATGCTCTGCAGTGAATGGGTGCCGTCAGAATGAGAGTCCAAACAGCTGATAAAAACATCACAAGTAATCCACACCGCTCCAGTCCAGCTGCGTGTTTGTAAGAAACAAAACCATCAAGACGTTTTTAACTTCTTACCAAAATACGCATTCATAATCCATAATTCATAACGCTTCCTCCAGTGAAAAAGTCAATTCCCGTTGTCCTCTCACGTCAAAATCCACCGACAAATTGGTTTAGAACTGTTTTGGACTGTTTTCACTCGTGATATGTGCAGATTTCTCTCCTGATTCAGACAAGACGAGTTTTTTTTCCTGGAGAATGCAGTATTAATAATTAAAGGACTTGTATTTTAGCTAGAAAGCAACGGTTTGAAGTTAAAAACGTATTGATGGATTTGTTTCTTACAAACGCGCAGCTTTTCTCTTCTCAAGACGTTAACTGATGGACTGGAGTGCTGTGGATTATTGTGATGTTTTTATCAGCTGTTTGGACTCTCATTCTGATGGCACCCATTCACTGCAGAGCATCCATTGGTGAGCAAGTGAAGCAATTCTACATTTCTCCAAATCTGTTCTACGTCTTAGCCTGAGGGAGAATAAATTCAGCAATTTCATGTTTCATGTTCAAATTCAATGTTTTGTGAATCTGGCCCCTGGTTTTGTATGACATCCGTTTCTAAAGTGTATTTGTCATTTGTGTATGATTTAGAGCGCTGTATTTCAGTTTGTTTTCGGCTCTGACTCCGGTCTCCTTCTGTTTGTAGGAGGCTGGACCCCTCCGAGCGTCCTCTTCAGATGGTCTACGACTACCTGACTGCTATGGGCTATGAAGACCCGCTCCGTGTCCAGCAGGAAGCCGCCAACTCCGACCTCAGCTGCATGATCCGCTTCTACAGTGGTGAGTTTGGGCCGTGGGAGGCCGCTTTCTGCTCTATTGACCGGGCCAAAATCCCAGAGCTCTGTGAACACTTTGCTGGCTTTACAGAGCAAACTGTTTGAGTCCACCAGAGCTTTTTTGTTGTTTCATGTCCGCTCGAGAGGGAAGCTCGTGCACCAGTTCTGCGACTGGGTGTAGTCAAATACTACAGCACGGGTGCAAATCTGTTTTTGTATACAAAGCCTTTTCCCTGTTCTCTCTTTGGCCTGACAGCTGTTGAATGAATAATGGGCTTTTTCTCGAGTCAGGCATCAGTGTGTGTCAACATCAGTGTTGAGGGGATTGCGTCTGATTCTAGCTCTTTCTCTTCAGTCACACAAAGGATGCCAATTAAGCTTTTGTTCCAGCATCCATCATGTACAAACCTCTTCCTGATGATGTGATTGGCTGCTTTTTTATATATTGGAAAAAAAAAGCATCAGCAAAATGTGTTTTTCCTCCTTCCATCAAAAAAGTACTGTCAGTACCACAACAAAGTTGTATCGGAAGGTAATACTACGGTATTAAATGATACCATGTCATATCCAAAACAAGGTATTACCATAGTATCATATCCAGATAACCATGGTAATACCATCATGCTTTTTTTTGCTGGCCATTTCTGTCAAGAAAGAAAACCCGAGTAATGAATCAGTACATATAAGTACTGTTGCAATTTACCATTATTTTCTCTAAAATCACACACACACACACACACACACACACACACACACACATACACACAC